AGTACTACTAGGTTTCAAATTAACCCATGGAAAATTTTGTGTCAATCCATTTAAACATATAGAATTTGATCTATTCATGTTCAATTAACAAAGAATAGCTCTTATGAAAGAGAGGAATTACAAACTAATTTGAAGATGATGATTAAGTAACAATGAAGTGGTTGTTGCATGATATATTTATAATAATTTTTGAAATATGCCATACATGCTGAAAAAAAAATTGTCAAAAGAGAGTAAAATGCCTAGGTAGTAGCCTAAAATTCATTTAGATTTTCCATTTGCATAAAAATCTTTGTTATAAGTGAACATTTTAAATTTATAGTTTTTGTAACTTAAATTGCATCATAGGTTCTCAAACTAAAGAATTTAAGAAAAAATTCAATTAACATTGAAAAGATTAACAAGTACTAACTAAAAATTATAACAATGCTAACCGTGAGCAGTATCCGTCTTTATCCCAATCATGTTTGGTACTTTGGATTTGAAGCAATTATGTTGCATTTCTAATAATTATTTGGAAAATACCACGCATTTTGAATACATTTGTCAACGGATTGTAACACGCATAAGCGAAAACCTAAAGTTCATCAAATTTTAAATTAACAAAACTAGATCTTATGAAAGAGAAGAAGTACCAACTAATTTGAAGTTGACGACTAAGTTGTTATGAAATTATTGTTGCATGATATATTTCTAATAATTATTTGAAAAATGCCATACATGATGAAAAGCATTTGTCAAAAGAGTATAGAGTGACTAGGTGGTAGCATAAGGCTTGTTTAGATTTTCCATAAGCATAGATATCTTTGTTAAAGGTGATCATTTAAATTAATATTGAAAAGATTAGCAACTACTAACTAAACATTATAGTGAGGCTAGCCACTAGCAGTATCCATCTTTATCCCGAGCATATTGGGTACTTTTGATTTGATGTAGCCACGTTGTATTTATATTAACTATTTGGAAATTACATTTCAAAAACATTTGTCAAAAGAGCGTAAAATGCATAGGTGGAAACCTAAAGTTCATCAAGTAATATATTAACACACAAAAAGATCTTATGAAAGACATGATGTACCTACTAATTTGAAGTTGATTATTAACTACAAGTTGTTGTTGTATGATATATTTTTACTAATTATTTGAAAAATGCCATAAATTCTGAAAAACATGTCAAAATAGTTGAAAATGTGTAGGTGTAAGCCTAAAGTTCATTTAGATTTTCCATCACTACAAAAAAAAATCCTTTTAAAAGGCGACTATTTTAAATTTAGAGTTTTCGTAAGTGAAACTGCACCATAGGTCCTCAATAAATTCAAATAATAATTAAAATATTAGCAAGTACTAACCAAATAGTATAATGATTAGCAGTATACATCTTCATCTCAACTCTCAAGTATATTAGTTACTTTGAATTTGATGTAATTATGCTGTATTTCTAACATTTATTTGGAAAATACCATACATTTTGAAAAACATTTGTCAAAAGAGCATGAATTGAATATATGGAAACCTAAAGTTCATTAGATGTCTTATAGAAAAGGGGAAGTACAAACTAATTCAAAGTCGATGATTAAGTGCCTGTGAAGTTATTGTCTAACAAATTGTAAAATGACTAATTGCTAACCCAAAATTCATATATATTTTCAATCCTCGTAAAAAAATCTTTGTGATAGGTGACAGTTTTAACTTTAGAGTTTTCACAACTGAAATTGCATCCTAGGTCCGCAAACTATAAAAAAAAAAATAATAATAATAAATTCAATTAATATTTAAAAGGTTAGCAAGTACTAACTAAAACATTATAATGAAACTAGCCCTAGTATTATCCATCTTCATCTCAAGCATATTGGGTAGTTTGGATTAAAAGTAATTATGCTGTATTTTTAATAATCACATGAAAAATACCATATATTTCGAAAACAATTTGTCAAAAGTGTAAAATGCATGACTGGAAACCTAATGCTCATCAAATGTTAAATTAACACAAAAAAATATAGATCTTATGGAAGAGAGGGAGTACCAACTAATTTGAAGTTGATGATTAAGTAACTATAAAGTTATTGTCGCATAATATATTTCTAATAATTATTTGAAAAATGTTAAACATGCTTAAAAATATTTGTCAAAAGATTGTAAAACGACTAAGAGATAGCCTAAAGTTCATCTACATTCCCATCAACATAAAAATCATTGTTAAATGTGACCATTTTAAATTTAAAGTTTTTATAACTGATAATGCATTCTAGGTCCTCAAACTAAGAAATTAAAAATAAAAAAACTAAATTGAATTAATATTGAAAAGCTTAGCAAGTATAAGCATGTTGGGTACTTAGGATTTGATGTGATTATGATGTGTTTCTAATAGTTATTTGGAAAATACCACACATTTCAAAAAACATTTGCCAAAAGAGTGTAAAATGCATAGGTGAAAACCTAAAGTTTATTTAGATTTTTCACCAGCATAAAAATACCGGCATAAAAATCTTTGTTATACATGACAACTTTATAGTTAAAGTTGTGGTATAAATCTTTTTCAAGACACTAAATGAACAAATTTAATAGATTTAATTAGTGTTTTAAACAGAGCGTCTAAGCACTAAGTTGAGCTTTTCCACCAAATCACACTTTACGCTTTTCTATGCTAGCCCATTTAGGCTTGTAAAAGCTAGAAGGTTAGCCTTGACATCTTGTCAAGCTTTACGATTTGATTTAATAAATAACATAAGTTTAAGAGATGTAATTACATACCACTCAAACTGTTGATCCCCAGTCATAGTTATTCAATTGTTGATAGGTTTCCAATTTCATTTGGAATATTTCCTGTCAATCCATTTAGATAGAGATTTTAAAATATAAAATGTTAAATTAATACAAAATAGATCTAATGAAAGAGAAGAAGTACCTACGAATTTAAATTCGATAATCACAACAAAAAAAAGTGGTTGCTGATTGGTCTGTATGTGAAGTTCTTTAGTGACCAATAAAGTGTGGTCGCTGCACATAAACCTACAGAGATCAACTATTGGTCGCTAAAAGCTTGAACTGTGGTCGTGAAAATACTTACAGCGACCAATAATTGGTTGCTAAATGCTTCAACCGCGGTCGTTGGTGAACTTGCAAAGTATGGTCGCTGCATATAAGACATGCAACGACCAATCTCGTGTTCGCTATGTCTGTAACATATCGCGACCAAATGCTGGTCGGTAATAATAGATTTCCAGCGACTAAGCTTGTGGTCGCTTTATATTTATAATGTACAAAGACTAATTATTGGTCGGTAAAGGCTTCAACCGTGGTGGCTGGTTAAGGCAAATTTGGGCTGAGTCATCTAGCGACCATGATGTTGATCGCTAATAGTAGACATCCAATGACCTAGTGTGTGGTCGCTGATAAGGGACATTCAGCGACCACGAAATTGGTTGCTAAATATATATCGGACAACAACCAATTGTTGATCCCTAATAGAAGATATCCAGCGACCAAACTATGGTCGGTAAAGGGTACCTATTTGGCTGCTCCTAACATTTTACAATTTATTAATTTACACATTTGCAACCAATCTTTGGCGGGTGAACATTAATGTTTTAATAGCCAATATTATTTGTTCCTGCTAATATTGTCTATTATTTCAATTTTCAACAACCACAAAACAATTTAAATTAGCTATTTTAAGAATAAAAAAAATTAAAATTAACATTTCGCTACAAAAATAAGATCATATTGCACATATAACAAGTACTAATAGTCGATACATAACCCAAAATATCTAATATTTTACCACAAAAAAAAAATTCCTTGTAACTTCAACCTAAATTGAGTTGTGAACCTATTTACATCACATAGAGCAAAAAGGGTGTGTAATTGATTAGAGGATTGTCGTTGCCCAGGAGGAGATGGGAGTCTATTTGCTGCAGTTTGGATGAATAGCGGTTGACACGTGCTTCGACTTTCTTTTTTTTGTGATATCTGTATGAGCATTAAAAAATGAAGAATGGATCAATAAAAGAAAGAAAATTGTTACCAAAATAGTATGAGAATACTTGTTTAAATCAATTTTGAACATGATATCTTGCATGAACATTACCTCCTAAAAGGACAACATAGTTAAGTAAATAAGAGTAATAACATGACGTCCAACCTTGGGAGCCAACCTTAATGTGGACTATAATAATCTCTGGTAAATTAAATTTAAACACAAAAATGTAGCCAATCGTTAGTTTTTCAGGAAGACTAGAAATCAGCCTATAAATAAAGTTTAAAGCATCTCAAGTAAGTAGTGAAACACCTTCCCTTGATTAGCTGCAGTTCATATAATTAAAAGAATAATGCTATGTAACCCCAGTGGGGATGCATCCCGAGTCTACATGGCGCTAGATGATAGGTTAAATGATAGGTGAAATTAAATTAGTCATTTAATTTCACATATTATTTAATGCCATGATAGCGCCATGTAGACTGGGGTTCATCCCCACTGAGGACAAATAGTATTACTCTAATTAAAATGCTAAATTTAACATTAAAATTCTACTGACTATGTAAATACACTACTACCAAGATATACCTATATCGAAAATGATGACACAAGTGGCATTTTTAACAGATGAAACATGATATAAGTTCAGCAACGAAGAGGTTCATAAGAAAGATAAGAGTATCATGAATGACATTGGGTGGACCACATAACCAGTCATAACAAGCCAATAAATGTTCATTGCATTGTCTTTCCTAAACCTACCTTCTATCACTCCTACAATCATCAATGAAAAAATTTATGCTTCATTCTGATATCAAAACTTTCTATCCTATATTTCACACCGATACCAACTCCATTCTTTGAATGACAGGATCAAGTAGCTTGATGAAGTATCTTGTGTTACCTTGAAGATGAGCTTCCTTTCCATTCAATAGCTTCCCTTCCATACTTGATGCTTCAAAAAAGAAACATCAAAAGAAACTGCCCGCCTTTGCCTTAGATATTTGAGCCTTGCTTCTTATTACCAAACCAACTCAAGAATCAACAAGAAGCATAGTTAAACATGTAACATACATACATGTATGAACATGAAAACTAGAATGATAGAAACCAAGTCTTTTTGAAGGTGAATAAATTAAAAAACAGAACAACATTTCTTGATAATAGATAACATACAAAATAGTTGCATACTAGATGAGTCACATTATATCCCAATAGCCTCAACGACTAGATCATTCTTGGTAGATGGCCATGGGTAAATCTGTGCAATAAATAATATTCCAAAACAAACTGAAAGCCCAACTCAAAACTATATTAAACATAGGAATTGAAAGCTCATACATAATGCACCAATAAAAATTAAAAATCAACAAATATCCAAAATCACAGAACAATGGCCACAATTAAAAGCCTCTAGCAAAGGAAATGCAAGGCTAAATAATAAGACAAGTGTGCCTATGCACATCTATGTATCTTATGAATTAGTTTTACATAATAAAATTATTTTAAGCATCTATCTAAGTTGATGATCATCTTAGTATAGCATCCACGACTTCAAATCCTACTTTGAAATTTTTTACCCGATACTGGATGAAGAATGGGCTCTTGATCACCAAAGGAAATTGCCTCGCGTTCTTGAAAAACCTCAACAATGCTCTTCCTAATTAAAAAGTAGTGGGTGTGATTGGTTCTCTTTTTTTCTTATCATTCCAAGCCAGGCGTTCCATATAAATGTGCGTCTACGAAACCTTCTCAATGACAAACTACAGAAAAAATAATTACATGTCAGATATTCCAACAACTACATACTCCAAATCATCTTTAGCGAAACATAAAAGATATGGATTAAATTACAGTGAGATGTAATGCCAATGCTTATTCTTACAAGCAAGTATAATGTATCACATTCAATAATAGTCATTAAATTTATTTATGAAATAACAGCTTTGAACACAATACCCAAACTTTGGAACATTAAAAAGAATGAACGCTTTCTATAGAAGATCAGAAAGCAAATAAGGAAAAATTCTCAAGTTCATATATTACTAAAGACTCAGTATTGAAAGCATGCAACAACTTATACCAAATGACCATACCAAGCAATAACTCAAAATTCTCAAGTTCATATATTGATAATGACTCAGATTCACTCTTTGTTTTAGGATCCTCAACAATGTTTACCAAGTCAAGTAAATCATCTCTTATTCGTATATATTGCTCCTTTATAGGCTTGGCACTTTCAACATGACTTTCCCAGCATGTTAGTGACAATGGCTTAAGCATCAAACCTTCAACCTTATATTTAAAAATTTTTCATCGCTTCGGAGAAGAAGAGAACACTGTATAGATGCTTTGTATCACTCCAAAGAGGACTTAGCTTTACAACAACAATTTGGCATATCACATAATGCTAGATTAAGGCTATGACAACCACATGGAGTATAAAAAGCTCTAGGATTTATTTCAAGTAACCTTTTATGTACACATTTGCGTCCCCTGCTCATGTTAGCTCCATTGTCATACTCTCCTGCTCATGTTAGCTCCATTGTCATATCCTTGATCTCTTATATTATCAATATCAAGCTTAAGTGATCCGCTAAAACTAAGCTAAGGTAGGGCGAGTTCTAGAAGACCAATTGACGAGAAAAGGAGAATACAATTTTCTTGAGAAAGATAATAACACTTCTCATTATAAAATTCAATCCAATATTCTTGTACCTTCAACAAGTCCGTTGATTCCTCTACGCATCTTATTACTAGACATATTTTGTTCATCATGACTCACATCTGGAGTACAATCAAGTATATTGAGGTAATTGAAAACCTTCAATAAAGTTAATATTATATAGATATAATATAATTTACTTTCTTCGCACTTTGGGAATAAATTTTTTTATTTTTATTTCATGAATTCAATAAAATTGGAGTGAGCTTCTAATTATTCAACAAACAAAATACAAACTAATAAATTTTATAATGTAAAATATATATGCATGACATATTTGTATTTATTTTGAATTGGTACTTGGCAATAAGCAAATTTATTTACATATTGTTGTCAAAATAAAATTAAACAATTTATAATTTTGTTTATCTTCAGTTCGACCCTTTTACCCTTTTTAATTTCAGGGTCGATGCCCGATTTGATTTTCAAAACATTGATTGTGACGATTCAAAATGTCTATCTTAACTATCTTTAGGAAACAAGATGTTATCAACTCCTTTTGGACCCATAGTATGGTTGCCAAAATCATATACTAATCAGCAACCATGAAAGCTGGTCACTATTGAAGGCGAAAGTATGGCTCCAATTCCCACCAGCCCTTTCAGCGACCATATATTGGTTGTTGAAAGTGTAAGCATACAGCTCACCAACTTGTACAGCGACCAAGTTAACGTTGGTAGCTGGATGTTCAAACCAACGACCAGACGTTGGTCACAGAAGGCTGAATTATGCAGCGACCACTTCTTGTTCGCTAAAAGGATTAAAAAATTACGCGGGTGTTCGTCCCTCCAACTTGTACAACGACTAGGGGACATCAGCAACCAATGGTGGTCGCTGAAGGCCAAAATGTACAGCGATCAGATGCTTGGTCGCTAAAGGATTAAGAAAATTACGCGGGCTTTCTCCCGCCAACTTGTACAATGACCAAGGAAATTTTGGTTGCTGAATGCCAACACCAGTGGTCGTTGGAGGCCGACATGTACAGCGACCAAAATATTGGTGGCTAAAGAATTAAGAAAAATTACGCGGACTTTGTCCCGCCAACTTGTACAACGACCAAGGGAATGTTGGTCCCTGGATGCAGACACCAGCGACCAGAGAGTGGTCACTGAAGGCCGACATGTACAGCAATCAGATGCTTGGTCATTAAAGGATTAAGAAAATTATGCAGGCTTTGTCCTGCTAACTTGTACAACAACCAAGGAAATTTCGGTTCCTAGATGCGGACACCAGTGGTCATTGAAGGCCGACATGTACAGCGACCAAATTATTGGTCGCTAAAGAATTAAGAAAAATTATGCGAGTCACATCCTGCCGACTTGTACAACGACCAAGGAAGCGTTGGTCGCTGGATTTGGACATCAGTGACCAAGATTTGGTCTCTGAAGGTCTTACTAGAATTTTTATTGTTTTAACAAACCAAAAGTTCCACCGACCACAGGTTGGTCGGTGATCATCTCTTACAGCGACCAATATTTATTGGTCACTGAAACCTTGATCGGTGGTGCACATATTTTTTGTAATGAATTAAGTACCCATGGAGTTACTGTTGCATGATGTATTTCTAATAAATGTTTGGAAGATGGCATAGATTTTGAAAACCTTTAATGAAAAACAGTGTAAAATGCCTAGGTGGGTACCTGAAGTTCACTTTGATTTTCCCCAGTCATAAAAATCATTTTTGCATATGAAAATTTTAAAGTTGGAATCTTGATATAAATCTTTGTCATGAAACTAAATAAACAAATCAAAATAGATTTAATAAGTGTTCTAAAAGGAACATTTAGGCACGAAGCTGGCCCTATCACCTAGGCACATAGTACACTTTTCTATGCCTAGCCCATTTAGGCTAGTAGAACTCCAAAGCTTTACCTTGACGTCTAGTCATATTTTACGATTTTTAGAACATTGAATTTAATATCATACTATTTTGAGGATCTAGGTACGTACCACTGAAAACATTGGGCCCCAAATCCAATAATACAAGTGCTTATACTTTCAATTTCTTTTTCTTTTTCAGTGTATTTGAATATGTAGATTTTAAAATATTGAATGTTGAATTAACACAAAATACACCTAATAAAAGACGAAGTACCAACAGTCGATAATTAACTATCCATGAAGTTATTGTTTCATAATGTATTTCTAATCATTATTTGGAAAGAGTTATGTTGCTTGGATATGGTTTGGGGATAGGGTTGTGAACGATGCTACATTGGTAGCACCTGTGTGGCTCATTTTTATTTATTTTTAAACTTTTCAATGAAATGTTGACACATGTTCTCCATTTTTAAATCATGTCACCAACCCTGTTTGTGTGCCATAACTCATTTGAAAAATGCATACATGTTGAAAATTATTTGTCAAAAGTGCATAAAATGCCTAGGTGATGACCTAAAGTTCATTGAGACTTTCCATCAGCATAAAAATCTTTGTTATCTATGACAAATTTTTTTTAAGCTTGAGTATAAATTTTTTATTAGGACAACAAATAAATTAAAAAAAAAATTTAACCAATATTCTAGGCATGAAGCAAGGCCTTGCCACCTAGCCCATTTAGGCTCATAATAACTTGGAACTTGGCTTTGACGTCTAGCTACACTTTATGATTCTTATAACATTGAAATGTATAAAATAAGTTTAACAGATCTTGATAGATACCATTGAAACCGTTGCGGGTCAAATCTAAAAATATGAGTGCTGATCGGCTTCCAATTTCATTTGGTATATTTCCTGTCCATCCATTTTTAAAAACATGTGGACTTTAAAATATCAAATGCTAAATTAACACAAAATAGATATAATGAAAGAGAAGAAGTACCAACTACTTTTAATTTCGATAATTAAGAAAAAGTCTATTTGTTACATGATGTGTTTCTAATAATTATTTGGAAAATTCTATACATACGGAAGTATATTTGTCAAAAGAGTGTAAAATGTCTAGGTGGTGACTTAAAGCTCATTTAGATTTTCTGGCAGCATAAAAATCTTTGCAATGTATGGCCATTTTAAATTCAGTGTTTTCATAACTAAAATTTCATCTCCTATGTCCTCAAACTAACAAATTAAAAAAAATCATTATTTCCAATTAATAATGAAAAGATAATAAAATACTAACTAAACATTATAATGTGGCTAGCCACTAGCAGTATCCAATGTATGACCATTTGGATTTGATGTTATTACTATGTATTTCTATTATTTAGTAGTTATTAGAGAATTCTATACATGCTCGAACACATTTTTCAAAATGCACAATCGAGATTTTAGGGATTACTTGTTGAAATTTTGGAGCCTACATTTTAGGCTTCACAATTTCTTTCATGTGTGTTAGACACATTTTTCAAAAGTTGCAGCAAATGTTGAAAAAGGAATGTGTATGGAAAATCTTGCTATTTTTGGAAGAAATGTTTGCCATGCATTTAATGCAAGGCAACTTTGTTGAAAAATTAATGGACATGCATTCAATGAGAAAGGTGAGAATTTTACTATAAATACGAGGCCGAAGCAGGAGCAAAAGATATGAGTGCAAAAACAAGTTCAAATCGTGTAGAGTGAAAACACGAGAGACAGTGAGCAAAGCACAAAAGTGAGAAGCAGTTAGGCTTCAGTGTGCAAAAAATTAACGAGAGAAAATTGAGAGATTGTTTTTGCGTAGGCAAATAAAATACAGAAAGTGTATTTGTTGTATTCCTTTTCTTCTCTTGTTGATAAAAAATTGGTGTGGATTTATGGACGTAGACACGATTGCCGAACCACGTAAATTCTTGTGTCACTTGCACTTATTATTTTTGCTATTTTATTTCTTCTCAGCTTAAATTATTTTACGTCGCACTGATCCTGGTGGAATTACTATTGTCTAATTTCTAACAATTGGTATTAGAGCTCCAGAATTTGAGTGGAAGGAATGGCAACAGATTAGAAGATATCCAAAATCGATAAGTTTGATGGTACAAACTTTAGATTTTGGAAGATGCAAATGGAGGACTATTTGTACGACAAGGACCTGTATAAATCACTTCACGTAAAGCCAGAGGACATGATCGACGATGAGTGGGAATTACTTGATCGAAAAGCTCTTGGCACAATAAGGCTGACATTATCAAAGTCATTCACTTTCAACATAAAAAATGAGAAGATGACGGCATCTCTCATGGCGGCCCTGTCTAGCATGTACGAACAACCATCTGCAACAAACAAAGTTCATTTAATCAAAAATCTATTTACTATGAAAATGGCTGAAGGCGAAAGATTTGGAAAACATCTAAATGTGTTGAACGAAGTGATAGACCAATTAAACACAGTCTAAATCACGTTCAGTGATGAGGTCCGAGCTTTGTTGATTCTCGGGCAGTTGCCTGAGAGTTGGAATGACATAGTTACAACAATTAGTAGCTCTGTCGGAAACTCCAAATTGAAATTTGAAGATGTCGTGAGTATGATCCTGATCGAGGAAATACGAAGACAGTCAGAAGGTGTTTCCACTTCTAGAGCCGCTTTGAACGTGGAGAGCAGATGCAGAAGTTCAAACAGAAGTAAAGGGCATTACAGGAGCAAG